GTGCTTCCAGAATTGGGGAAGCAGGCAGTGCGCATACGTCAAATCTCAAGCTGGCATATATAATTTCCCTCTCTTTTGGATTAGTGTAACAGATATTGTAACTGTCAAGGAAATAAAGGTGAAACAAGGAAGAAGAGGCAAAAGCACATTGCTCCTACCCTTCCATCCACCTTGTCAGCTAGAAGTCAGCATGGCCTTTTGAGCAACATCCTGCTGTCTTCCAGAATCTTAACAATATGGTTCCTGCACTGTGCACCCCAGCTCCCATATATTTCAGCAGGAAGACATTTAACTTTTCCATTGTAATCAGCAGAACAAAGTACACATCTACATTACCCAATATTTTTATTCACCTTTTATAGACAACTAAACTGTGTGCTAAAATCAAGAAAGAGCTTGCTAGATGCCTTGTACTTCACTCATAGGTTGCTCAGAATGAATGACTTATCATCATCATAATCATCATCATCATCATCTTAGAACTGCAGAGTTGGAACGGACTCTTATGTCAAGGAGGCAGAGTGGGGAATCGAACTCCTAACCTCTGGCTCCGCAGCCAGAGACCTAAACCACTGAGCTCTTTTCTCTTTAGTTCAAATTACAGAGCTTGAATTTGGCTCTTTTATAGAAATGTGCTTGGAGCAGAAAGTTGGCACACACAGGCTGCAATTATATACCGTATCCACACCGCTGCTTTTCTACATTTCTAACAATTAGCCTTTCATTTGTAGGGACATGTTTGGAGAAGACTGTGTAACTGCAAAGAATGATAATATACTGAGCATCACCGTGGATGGAAAAACAGCAAATCTTTCTTTGGAAACACGGGTATTTACTAGCTAAATTTGCTATAGCTCTGTGTTTTGTTTTGCACACCTGATAAACCTATAGTCGGAAATATGCTACTCATCTTACATTTGTTTTTGAAATCAGATTTATATAGATAACAATTTTGATGACCACTGTCATAACAGATGGTGCATTCAGAAATCTTAAAGTTCTGTGATTTCTCTTGTTCTCCTGTGTATTCAGACTTGTTGGAAAGTAGCATGAAATAGGTCAGTAAATAAATTGCTGTAAAGTTATTTCTTAAATAATTACCCCCTTTTTGAACTAGTATTCTTAAAGTAACTTACACTTAGTAAAAAGTATGGACAAGTTAAGTATCCCAAAGGATCATAGTTCGTGATGTTTGATGAGATGTTTTAGAGATACTGAATCAGGAAAGCCATAGCAAACCAAATTGCTGATAGCTCACTCATACAGATACGTTATGCTCAATTAAACAGCCAAAAAACAACGCGGGTTTTTACGAATGGCCTTGAGGTGGTGTCCCCTGAGTTTTCTGTTGTGAAACACTTGGCCCACATTTCATTATCACTCAATTATTTTGAATCTCCTTTCTATTTCACAGGCACTTTGTAATGTGATAGTGGAGACAGCTAATGCAAACTGGGGTGGGGAGTTAAAACTCTCCATTGTCCTCATGGATCTATGTTACATGGACAACATTGTAACAAGAACTTCTTTTTAAAGGAATGTTCAGACTTACTAGGCAGCATTATTTTCTAAATTTGTTGACATTCTTTCTTCCCTGTTAGACTGTTGACCATGAACCTGGTTGTGAAGATGATGATGAAACTCTTCGGGAAATGGTCGAATTAGCTGCCCAGCGACTCTATGATGCCATCACTCCACTACAATAAATTAATTGACCATTGTATATACTGAGAAAAAAATTGTATGTAAACTTTTTTTAAATAAAAAGATCCTTTAGCAAAAAAAGAAAGACAATCTTTCTGGCGTTGTATCATGGAAATATTGTGTTAAGGAAGGATTATTTCACACGGCTTAGCAAGCAGACATATACAGACTGAAATCCTATTGCGTAGCTCAGCCTTCATAATGGGAAGGACTCTACTAGTTAAACTGTTGCTCTGAAACTAGGAATCTTTTAGAAGGATCTGTGTTTTAGCAGGAGGACCCATCATTGCAAAAGGAAATTGGGAGTGCCATCTACAACATCTGTCTACATCCAAAAAGTGTTTTGTGCCCCAGGGTGATGAGCAGTCTTTGAAAAACTAGCACCAACACTGACGTGCACAGGAGCATGAAGCTGGCTTCAGGTACTCTTTGGATTCCAGTTGAGGCAGAGAAATAGTATCAAGAACATCAGCTCTCACCCCTGACCGAGCCTACTAAATAGAAGTAGAACCAGTTGGCTTTGGGAGCAGTACTTAATGCTTTGGAAACAAGTCCTATTGTCTCCTTGTAGTTCTTAAGAACAAGTTTTGTTGTTGGTCATTTTCCTAGCCTTTTGAATGCTGTCCCTCGGGAGATCAGGATGGTCCCCTCCCTTTTGTCCTTCTGCTGACAGCTGAAGACCCACCTTTTCAGGAAGGCTTTTAACGGCTATGACTAATATAGTTTTTAACATTTTACATTTTTATTCATCACAATGTATTTTGATCAGTTTTACAGTTTAGTTGTTTTTAATGTACTGTATAACCTATTGTGTTTTAAATTCTGTGCTTTTTTAATATTGTGAGCCATCTTGAGTCCCTTTACTGTATTGGGAGAAAGGTGGCTTATACCTAAACAAGACAAATTAAATAACCAAATAAGCAAACAATCCCCTTGGCTATGGACTTGACACAGGTATTACTTGCTGACCTAATCAAAAGCTTATATCCCTATAAGTGTTTTTGACACAAAGATTGTGTGGCTAAGTTACCAGGAAGACAAAAGATTATTTACAGAGACATACTGTACTGTTGCAGAGTGTAGCATAATGGATAGAGTGGTAGGCTGGCACTCAGGATTTCTGAATGAGCTGGATTCAAACCCCTGCTCAGTCATGGAAGCTTATTGGCGGTGTAAAACATGTAAAGCCACTCCTTAAATATCTCCCTTACCTTGAAAAGCTGTATTAGAGTCGCTACAAGTCAGTTCTGACTTGACAGCACATAACAAGCTGTTGTGGAAGGAGAAATCAGTAGAGTCAAAAGTCTCAATTTTATGTGGCTGGGAAAAATACGCAGGGGTCTCTGCTAGTATTTCTGTCTTATCCTGAGTGCTGTGCAGATTGCTGTGATTTTTCTGGAAATCCATGTTTTGATTGGTGCCCTTTCTCTAGTAATTCTCACTAGTTACGGTGGGACTTGCTTCCTGTAAGTGCTTAAGACTGCAAAGACCCTCCTCTCATAACTTATTTTGTTATTTTTAATTTTGTTATTTGATTTTTGTCGCTGCTGGTTTTTTGGGTGTGTGTGCCTTTTTTCCAATTATATGTCTTACAGGCAGAAGGTTGGGTGTTTTTATGTGTGTAAGCCTCCCAGGGTAGTGACACACCACTGGACGGGTGGGACAAAAATCCAATCACTCAGTAAAGATTTGGGATCACAGTATATAATCACTGTGCTCAGAAACAACCTACAAAAACACTTACTGATGTCTCATCGAGTCAGTTTTGACTTATGGTAAGCCTAACGGGATAGCTCAGTAAGTAGGAGTGTTTGCCTGTGGAGCCAGAGGTTAAGAGTTCACCATCACCACGGTGCCTCCCAGGAGAAGCCTGGCCTGCCTTCCTGCTCATAAAATGACAGGTGCTTTGCAGAGGTCAGATTTCACCACCACTATAGACCGGGGGGGGGGGGATTCACTATTGCTGTAGAAGACAAGGTCCCAAAAAGCTCATGAGAAATTTCTACAGAGGCTATGTATGGATTCCCAGTTTTGCTTTTTCTTGCGCTTATACATAATTCCCAGGTGGCCCCGAGTTAAAGAGTGCCTTATATTCTACTGGCAATCAGATACCTTGAAAGGAGTCCGTTTATTTAAAGAGTTTTATTTAAAACTGGGATCTCCCTCCTCCAAACTATTCCCCATGAACTGATGTTACATATTATCCTTTTTACTGTATTCTTCCTTTTTTTGAAATAAAGGGTTTGCTGTATGGCCATTACAAAATACAAATGAAAGAACAGGCGATACCTTTATAGGCCATTAATAAAAAATTAAAAAATCATACACTATTTGAGAATTTGTGGGTAAATCCCACTTCTTCAAAGCAGGTACCAAGAGTCCAAACGTTTGTGGCAAAATGGATTTTGCCAGGAGGTTATTCTTAGGTGTCAAATTCTTGGCTGGATGAATTTCACCAGGCACCTCTATCTTAGATGAGGCAGGACGTTGCTTTAAAGTTATGGGTTGGATTTCACACTCCAGTTCTCCAAAAGGGCACAGGCTATGCATGCGCATACTCTCTCTCTCTCTCTCTCTCTCTCAATTGATCACAGTGAACTGATGATCTCGGCAACCTTTTGACATCATCCAGGTTTGTTTTTTACAAACTGAATATTATGTATTTGTATAGCAATAAATTTTTAAGAACAAAACAAAGGAAGAATGAAAATGAAAAAACTGTCTCTAATGTCTTTTTCTGGTGTCATCTGCTTTTCCAGCATTCTTGCTAGAAACAAAGCTATGTTGTCAGTGACTTCTGGAGCCTCATGGGGCAGTACAGCCGAAAGACTCTGCTTATGAAACAGGTTCAATCACGGGTAGCCAGCTCAAGGTTCAGTCAGCCTTCCAATATGGGGCCAATGTGTAGCCAACATAATCACATTGCAAACCACCCAGAGAATGATTTAGTGCTATGGGGTGGTGTATAACAGACCCCAAAGGGCTTATTTTAGGAGAGACCTCTCTCTGTGTTTGCTTTTCTCTCCCAATCTCTGCACCATCTTTCTATACCTATAGCTTCCCAAGAAGCAGCAGGGCCAGCAGATCAGACAAACACAACAACCAAAATATAACTTTGCCAACAACTTACTTATCCTGCCCTTTTCCCTTAGAAGGACCCCCATGCTCTTGTGACCTTTTAAACCGACAATGGAAATTATCCTCAGCCTGAGAGGCCCGTTCCTTTCCCAACCAACCCTTGGCCTTTTATTTCTTTGTTCGTTTGTTGTCCTCAGTCGGTCCCACGACCTACCTAGTCGTGGGGCCAACTCTCCACACGAGAGAGCCCCTCTTGCACCGGAGGGAAACGAGGGCGAGGCCCAGAATCGGCCAACCATTCCCCATCTTCAGGCTCCCCTCATGGAGAGGGCGGCGGGGGGGAGAAGGGTTGATCCAAGTCCCGAAGAAAGGGCTCTGCCGGGGCTGGGTAGGTGGGGGGGGGCAGGCCCGCCTCCCGGCCGAGGAAAGGAAGCTGCCGGAGCGGGAAGGGAAGCCATGGCGCGGCCCGAGGGCGCCGTCGGCCGCCAGCTGCTTCTCCGACCCCGGATCGTCCTTTTCGGAGACTCCATTACTGAGGTATCCGCGCCCCGCCAGGTGATGGCGCGGACAGAGGTCGGGTCGGTTCCGAGGCG